CGAAGGATGCCACCCGCCCGATGATCCAGAATAACGCCAGAGCGGAGATATAAAGGTAGGCCCGATACTTTCCGGACAGACCTCGTATATCTCCAGATAGTACTATTCATTTGCTGATCAGTGGAATCAACAGTCGGTCCCTACGAGAGACAGCAGCTGCACTCGACCTGGAATCCGTCGACTCATTCTTAGACTCGATGCACAAAATTACATCGGTCACATTAGAACCAGAAAAACGGCTCACAACGGATTCAAAGGCCGCAAAAGTAAAAGAGCCCACTTACAGAAGAGGTGGCAAACCAGCTCATCCAGTATCGACATCTCAGAAGGACGAATTGAACACCTGCGGATTCTGCAAGATCCCGGGACACACGTTCGAAAATTGCTTTAAGCGACGACGTCAAGAACGGCTTCAGATGACCGCCAGGGCTTCGCCTACAACACCGTCCACCACGTCGCCGACAACTACCGTCTCCGCTGTCGTCGCAGTGAGGGATGACCAGACGATAGCACACGTCCAGCCTAAGAGTAAGAATTTATACATTAACGACCTCGCGTTGGAGGTTACGGCTTTAAATAAGGTTATTTGTAAAATGTCTGCGTTGTTAGATACGGGTAGTCCCATATCTTTTGTTAAACCGTCAGTGTTTTGTAAAATTTTTACGGACAATTTTGATATGTTAATCCCGCCAAAAGTAGAATATAAAGCAGTAAATAACTTACCGGTGTTAATACACGGGTCGATTGTAACGACAATCACATTGAAACAAATAGATGACGTCGAATTAGATGTTAATCTGCACGTGTTAGCCGAGGATAATCTCGCCACGGATCTTATACTAGGCCGCGATTTCTTAGAAAAACACGGCTTGACAATAATATATCGCCCGATTGGGAAAACAGCTGACGACGCTGTCGCGTCTCCGCGCGCGTTCCCAAAGTCATTACAACAGATTCTCGCCTGTGCCGAGATTAACGACAACTCAAATCGATATGGCGAAATTGTCACTCATTTTAATAAAGAGGTTACAGCTCAGCTGACTAGTTTATTAATAGAAATCGATAATAAGCACGTCGATCGAATTGACGACGATTATAAAGTCACGGTTAGATTAAAGGATGCGTCGGTTTTCGCGTACGCTCCGCGACGATTCGCATATCAGGAAAAATTACAGATGCGAGAGATCACTAATGACCTTCTAGCAAGAGGCATTATTAAAAGAAGTAACTCGCCGTATTGTGCGCGCGTTGTACCGGTACGAAAGAAAGACGGCCGTATGCGCCTATGCGTAGATTTACGTTCCTCTTAATCAACGCGTTATCAAACAAAAGTATCCATTTCCAGTAATAGAAGACTATCGCTCTTCTTGGAAATAAGCGTGTTTTCACCCTTCTCGATTTACGAGATGGTTTTCACCAAATTAAGGTAGATGAGCAAAGCACACAATATTTCTCATTTGCTACGCCTGACGGGCAGTTCGAATATAACCGTCTTCCGTTTGGTTATTGTGAAAGTCCTGCTGAATTTCAAAAGAGGTTGATAAATATTTTTCAACCGCTTATCGAGGACAATAGAGTAATAATATACATAGACGACATAATGATCGCGACCGAGACGGTTGAGGCAAACTTAAATATTTTGAAACATGTTTTGCTCACCTTGAAAGCGTACAGCTTCGAGCTCAATCTAGATAAATGTAAATTTCTTCAGCGTGAAATCGAATATTTAGGATATACGATTTCTCACAATGCAATCACGATTAGTTCACGACACACCGAGGCGATCAAGCAATTTCCGCGCCCACGTAATGTTCTGGAAATCCAGCGATTCATGGGTCTGGCTAATTATTTTCGTAAATTCATTAGGGACTTCTCTAGTAAAACTAAACCGCTTAGAGAACTATTACGTAAATCATCTGTTTTTGATTTCTCCGAAAATTGTATTAACTCGTTCGAGTTGATTAAAAGAGAGTTAATCTCCTCCCCTGTTTTGGCTTTATATAATCCGAGTGCGGAAACGCAACTGCACACGAATGCCAGTATCAACGGGCTGGGTGGAATTTTACTACAAAAGCAGTCATCCAAAGACTGGAAACCGGTAGCATATTTTAGTCAGCCTACCAACGAGTCGGAAAAACGGTATCACAGTTTCGAACTAGAAATGCTAGCTATAGTGCGCTCTATTGAACGTTTTCACATTTATTTATACGGTCTGAATTTTACAGTAATAACGGACTGTAACGCGCTAGTATACGCAGTAACGAAAGCCAATTTGAACCCACGAATCGCACGTTGGACACTAGCATTACAAAATTACACGTTCGATGTGAAACATTGAGCTGGCGAGCGAATGGCACATGCCGATGCGTTAAGCCGCGCGGTAC